GGACAAATAGAGTAGCTATAATAGAGTAGGGGGTTGGTAAATTATATTAAACATTTGTCTTTAAAAAAAAAAAAGAAACAAGGAATGACTATTTTGGGTTTTTTTTGGTTTACAAATCTGATTGAGGGAAATAATTGTTAGTAACATGGTTTTCAAATGTAAGATCAGTAGTTTAGACAAGTGTTTAAAATCCACATTTGCTAAGCTAATTGGATGATAAGAACAACAACTCAGAGGATCCTTGTTCTTCTTCATCATTAAAGAAATGAACACTTAGTACAGTGTTGGAGGCAGTTTGAGAGACTGAGATGCAAAATCAAAACTAAATGGTCACTTTACTTTTAGGAGAAAGCGATGCTCACCTTCCCTGCCAATTTCTCAAAAAACATTTGTGGTGAACCTAAAAAATGCCCATGTTGCACTTAAAAGTTGTGCACAGGCAATCATGTTGGGTGCATTATCAGTGATTAAACATGTGATCTTGTTCTGTATCCTCCATGAATGCAGAAGGACTCTCTTGATCTACTTCAGGTGCTAAGCTGTGTGGGTCACAGGTAATTTAGAGATGCCCCTGCTAATAACGAAGGATGCACCCAAACAGAATACTGAGGTGTGTTTTTATCAAGTAAGACATCAAGTAAGGCTGATACCAGAAGACAAGCCACTACTCTGGTTTTGTGGTGTGAGATGCAGGGCAAAGAGACTCCAGCTGTTTGTGAATGACAAGGTTTTGGGTGGTCATAGACCACCAGCTGCTGATTTAGCTGTGGCCAAACCAAAGAAGAACAGAGCCCAGAGAGGGTGCACTAGAACTGTGTTGGTACTGTGTTTCTGTCACCTTGGGTGATATACAGACCCTACCAAACCATAACAACTAGAAATGTGAACAAAGTTTTGGCATCTTAATATTAACCACTAGGTTACATTATGCCATTCACCATGAGAGCTACAATCCTTGCTCCAGCAGGTTTGGGCTAACGATAAGGATTGAGATCTGCAAAGGTGGGCTTACTGTGGGAGTTTGGGCTTGGTGGGCTGTGAAGGTACTGCAGGTGGCCTTTTTTATGGAAACGCATTGTAAAAAACAGGACCTCCTCTGACCACGGGGAAGGTCTTTATTTGTAGCCAAAGCTCTAAAACGTAGGGAAATGTAGTAAATAGTCCAACATTTATCCTCTCCTTCATATTTTTCAAAACTATCCGTCTTGATGCTTGACACCCCTGATCTCGATGATTGAATCCCAAAGTGTGGTCGGAGCCTTTTGCTAATGCTTTCCAGGTGGGCAGCAGTAATAACCAACCCCAAATCAGGGAAAAATGTGTAATAAGGATGTTGGTCATCTCCATTTGAGGACAGGCATGCAGAAGTTGCAGTGTGTTGCAGTACACTGGAGTAACAGTAGAGGGAGATATTTTATTTCAAGCCAACATGAAAATAATCAAAGTATTTAAACATACATTATTAACACATTCAAATGCAAATACATATCAGCCGCCTAGCTTAATAGTTGTGATTCCTCTCCTTGATGTGTTGAAGCTTTGTCCTCCTTGGTGCCTATGTGTGCTGCTCCCTCTGCACGTTTCTGCATTTGACCTAGAAACAAAAGATTCCACACTCAGTACAGCCCTATCTACCAGCCAACAAAAACACTTAAACCATTCCACAAGAGATAACAGAAATCATAATCATATGAGCTTGACAACTAACTGTGTTCCTAGTGTAACTATCCCACACCAACTGCCGCTCCACTGCTCTCTTAAGTAGGGCTCCTTGATAGGCAGATCGGCAACAGGTGAGGGATTAATCCCAGGTGTGGCTGGCTCAAAGGCAAGAGGCTCTCCAGGCACACACACAAACACACAAACTCACTCCAACTCGTGCACAGGGAAGCAAGGGACCAGGAGCAGATCACACCAACAAACAACCATAAGCATTCGAGAAGACAAATGAAAGTAATAAATATTCATCAAACCCAAAAATAATGCATGATCCCTGGGTCACAGTCCCAGCCCCATGACGACGTTGTGGGTGCAACAATATTGTTTCATGAATGACTTTTTCACAGTAGGCCTACTAGTCATCCATACATGCAGTGATATGATTTGATTTGATTTTTTTTTTTAGAAAATGTGTTTCTTTTCTCATTTTATTGATTATTATTAAGACAGGGATTTGTTAAAATAGATCTGAACAGTATTGCAGAGGCAGATTTGTCATGATGAAAACAAATCGCAGGTTTTGTTAAATGCAATTTTAATTTTTGAACTTTACCTGTGAGTAATTTCCAACCAAATATCTGTAGTTACAATCTAGTATCACGGCAAATTAACTGTTTACAATCCAAAGCATTTCAATTTTATATCTTAATGGGCAATTAAGGCGGGATTATAAGTGATTACATTACAAATTAAATAAACAGAAAAGCAGTTAAGGGGGGGGGGCTTAAAAACAACACAACGTCAGTGCCTATATGGACACTGTGGCTCCATTAAAAACCAGACTGCCTAAAACTAAATCTGAGCCCTGGCTGAACGACATGACCCGAGCTGTCGGACTTGACTGCCGTCGAGCTGAGCGCAAGTGAAAAAGGACAAACTACAAGTGTCATTCCAGATGCTGAAGGACTGTTGGCGTCAATATCAAAGAACTGCAAAAGATGCCAAAAGAAAACACTTATATGACATTATTTTTGTCAAACTGCCGTGTTTTATTTAAAACTATTAACTCTGTTCTTAATGCACCATATACTGACAGTATCGAGCCCTCATCAGAAGCCTGTGAAAATCTTTTACACTTTTTTATTGACAAGGTCTCCTCCACAAGGGCTCAAATCTCTCCTTGTGCTCATGACCTCTCAGTCTCTGTTTCCTGCTCTGCTGCCTTTGACAGGTTTGAGCCTGTGACTCTGTCCTTTTTAAAGGAGACTGTTGGTCATCTTAAGCCTGCAGGGTCTCCAAATGATGCTGTACCTCCTCGACTTTTAAAAGGGGTGTTACCTACAGTTGGTCCTTTGGTTCTTGAGCTGGTAAACCATAGTCTGATGTCAGGTGTTGTCCCTAAAGATTTTAAACATGCAGTAGTCAAACCCCTGATTAAAAAACCTGCTCTTGATCCTACGGTTCTTGCAAATTACAGTCCTATCTCCAAACTACCTTTTCTTTCCAAAATTCTTGAAAAGGTAGTTTACAGCCAAATAATGGCCTTCCTGGAAAAGCAAAATGTGTTAGAAGTTTTCCAATCTGGTTTTAAACCCTTTCATAGCACTGAATCAGCCCTTTTAAAAGTTTTTAATGACATATTTTTAGCGACTGATGCTGGGGACTGTGTTGTTCTTGTGCTTTTTTTGACAGCTGCGTTTGATACCGTGGATTATGCCATTTTATTCTCTCGTTTGGAGCACTGGGTGGGCATTAGGGGCACAGCACTGGAGTGGTTCAGGTCCTACTTGGCGGGGCGAATTTTTTGTGTCAGCCCGCTCCCCTCTTGTGTGGTGTCCCACAGGGCTCAGTTCTAGGCCCCCTCTTCTTCTCTTTATATCTGCTTCCTCTTGGTTCTGTACTGAGAAAGCACGGCATTGATTTCCACTTTTATGCTGATGACTGTCAGATCTATGTCCCTCTAAAGAAAAAAGGCAGATACCTTACACAGCCATTACTTCAGTGTCTCGATGACATTAAGGCTTGGATGTCTGTTAACTTTTTAAAATTCAATGATAAAAAGACAGAGGTGATGGTTTTTGGTAGCCCCACTGAGACCCCAATGTGTATGTAGATTCCCTGGCCCAGTATGTTAAGCCAACTGTCACAAACCTGGGGGTCAAAGTGGACTGTGATCTGAAGTTTAACAATCAAATTAAGGCAGTGGTAAAATCTAGCTTCTTTCACCTCAGGCAGCTGGCAAAAATAAAGCCAATTCTTTCACGGCAGCACTTTGAGACAGTGATCCACACCATTGTTAGCACTCGTCTGGATTACTGTAATGCACTTTATATTGGGGTCAGCGCATCATATATTAGTCATCTACAGAGGGTGCAAAATGCCGCAGCTCGTCTTTTAACTGGCACTCGAAAGTTTGAGCACATTTCCCCTGTTTTACCTTCACTTCACTGGCTGCCCATTTCTTGTAGGATCCATTTTAAAATTCTTTTATTTACTTTGAAAGCTCTCCATGGCCTAGCCCCATCTTATCTCTCTGAGCTGCTACAGCCTTATACACCCACCTGCTCTCTCAGGTCAGATGATCAGCTGCTCCTGAAGATACCCAGGACTGGCCGTAAACTTAGAGGAGATCGTGCTTTTGCTGTAGAAGCTCCAAAACTGTGGAACGAGCTTCCTTTAGAGATTAGACAGGGCAGTTCTTTACCTGTCACTCTTGGAAACCCACCTCTTTACCCTGGCCTTTGACACCACGTGAGATGTTGGTTTTTATTTTTATTTCAGTTGTTTTTAGGTGATTCGATGCTGTTTTATCTTGTTTTTGTTTTAATGTAGGGCTGTTTTAATTTTATGTTTTATTTATTTATTTTGCTGTTTTCTGTTTTTCTATTGTTTTAACTTATTTTCTGTACAGCACTTTGTTCCTGTGCTGGGTATTTTAAAGTGCTTTATGAATAAAATTGGATTGGAATTGGATTAAAATAAATAAATAAATTTTAAAAAATAACAAATCATGCAGTTTAAAAACAAGTAACTGGATTAACAAACGTAACAATGAATACAGATTTTAATCAGGCATTTTATAGGAGACCCTTTCCTGTTTTTCCTTGCTTAATTTGTTTTTACAGTTAATTGTTGCGTGTTGATGTTCTTTTACCTTTTCCATTCTGCCTTGCCTTTGATACTAGGGAAGTCCAACAGTAATACCTAAATACATATTGTGGCTAATGTACGCTTGGCGGTGGTTGTGCAATGAGGTGTGTTTTCGCCTCCCACGCGGTGTTTGCTGTAAGAGCTCGCATCGAATCTTTCCATTACAATCAAGTTTCGTTTTAACACTGACATCAAACTGCAGACTAAGAGCTGCGTGATGGCCACGGCCGCGATCAACTCCTTACTGAACTACAAAACAGAAAAATACATTGATACAAAAAATAAGGCAGTCGGAGTGTTGCACAGACTTTTTCAGTTATCTGTCATTGGTTACATAATAGGGTAAGTGCATTATTGCCACGTATAATTTCCTGCACTGTACATGTTATTACTTAACGGGTTAACTTAAAATAAGTCACTGAACAAATATAATAACATTTGGGCTTTGTCTCTAGCATATCGTTTGGTAAACAGAATAAAACAAACAAACAAAAAATATTAATTTTTGAATGAGCGGTTCCTTTATTGTATTGAATAGTAGACTATTCGCACGTTACACGCTTATTTTATACTTTAAAGAAGTAAGCAAAATTAAAAAATAAAATGCTTAAAATGCTCAAAATGCGTTTGAGCAAATACCACATGAACGTTTCTCTTTCGCTGTTTTGTTTTTTGTTTTTGCCCGAACCTATGCGCACTTGTGGCATGCGGTTCAGCGTCTCGCTTTACCCGACACAATTCAAAAAAGTGTTGCCTGGGACACAACAGGGGCGGAAAACGGAACACAAGGGGTCTATTCCTGGCTTACCGATGACAGCCGAAAACCGCACACAGTAATCTTTAGGGGTCATGTGGGTAGAATGTAGAGAACTGTGCATATAAGTCTGCACAAAACAATTTTTACACAACACTTATCTTTATAACTGAGTTTAAATGTTTTGGTGTGTGAAAATGCGTCAGATTATATTAGGTTTATGACGTGCAGTGTTTGAACCACGATCTGTTAGGATTCCTTTAATGTTGTTATAGTGGGAGGAAAAGGGGGGCTACCCACTCATTCATGGGGGGAGGGGGGGGGCTTTAATCCAAACTTTGTTTATATTAATAGTGGAGGCTTTGATGTTGCTTTTATCCCTTAGCAAAATTAGAAAAATGGGTTAGACCAATTTCACAGCTAAGATATTAGGTTACTGCCAATGCACACTGTTACTGTGGTCTTACCTCAAATAAAGAAGAATATGAAAAGCACACAAATGTGACTAAGAAATCATTTGGCTATGAGCTGCTGTTAATATCAGATGTGACACAGTGTTAATGAGGACAGCTGAACACAATGAAACAGCAGGTCCTTCTCCAAATGATGTGACACAAGGTGAGATCGTTTAGTGGCAACTAAAAAGTATTATTAGGAATCATTTTTGAGGATTGCAAATGTGGGGAGGTTTCAAACTGTGCAGACTTTGTGGAAAACCTTTATCATTGATTTTCATTGAACATGGCATATGAACTGCTCATTACTGGCCACCCCAACAATACCCACTGATTGTCATGTACAGCCGCTGGCTAACTTATTCCTTTAAAACATTCGTCAGAGATGTGGGTCAACATGGAAGAGGGTCGCTGAGACTGCTTGTATATTGTCACAGTTTGCTGATTTGGGAGACTGTTTTGAGTGTGATGTAAATACAGAACACAGGCAGGGGTTTAGCAACAAAACAATCTGCTTTATTTGGCTGTTGTAAAAAGTCCAAAAGGCAAAACAGAACCCTAAGAGAAGAAACTAAACTGAGGCATGGGAACAAACTGGGACCAGGAGACTGATGGGACAGATGACACAGGAAGATGGCATTTTCTATAAACACAGAAGGGCAATCGGGGAAGTAGATATAGTTGAACTAAATCACGGAGGATGTGAGAAGGCGAAGCAAAACTAAATGAAAAGCACAAGGGACAATTAACTATCAAAATAAAGCAGAAAGTGAGAAGCGATAATTAAACTACACCAAGTCCATTGCTCTGGAAAATAGCTACAATCTCAGAGCCAGTAGCTGGCCGTGGTTTAAAGTGCCCCTTGCAAACACAGAGTCAGGAAACATTCGGAAAGTCCTCTGAACGATCTCATTGTCTCACAGCACGTCCTCTGAGAACCACTGGTCCCTCATTCAATAAGCCCAAATTTTACTTGAGGTTAGTATTTGTAAGCTTTCAGTATAACCTCCTATCTGCTAAATATGCTAAAGTATTTTATTCTGCCTATGCGAACAATGTAAATCGCAGTGTGGACTAAACCATTTTGGTTCTTTTTAAGAGATGAAAGGACCCCTGAGCCTCCACAATATGTTGAAATCAAAGTTCAGTCACACAGCCAGTTCATTTGGGCAATTTACTTATGGATTGTTCTCTGACAATGACAATAAATAAATAAATACAAATACAAATACAATTAATTAATTAATAATAATAAAAATGTAAACAAAAAACAAACTCTTCATTCCAGGCCTTGCAAGGTTAGAGAGTCCCACTAAGCCAACCACTTTGATACACCTGACTAGCAGTATCACCCCTCACTGCATACTGTATGTCACAAAAGACAGTTGAAAAAGGCAAAAACATATAAAATATTTGCACAAGGTTTGCACCAAAGCTTTTACCAAAGACCTGCGAGAACACTGGGTAGTTCTGCTTTGATTTAAAGGTGGGTTTTCATAGTCAAGCAAGGCTACCAGGAGATAGATGATGCCATCCAGAGTTCTGTCATAACTAAAGTGAAGGGAACTGCGGTGACCAACACCAGTGAATCTGGTCTGCATGTGTGGGGACCTGAGGAGTATGTCATCCCCCCACAGGTGAGAACACTTTTAATATTTCAGACTAGATTAAAGCCATGCACTGCTGATGAGACTTTGACATTTTGTCTGTTATTTTCTTTTTGTCATTCAGGGTGAAGATGTTCTGTTTGTTGTAACCAGCTTCTTAGAGACACCAAACCAGAAGATGGGTTACTGTGCTGAGGTGAGAACATTTTGTTTTCACTTTAAATCACTGACTGGGCATGATAGACCACAGTGATGGTATTTCTAACTTTAACTAAGAGGTGTTTTCATTGTTTTTAGATTTGATGAATGGCAGCGGTGATGATCAGGTCGTTGTCTCAGTTTTAATTGCTGGTCATTCTACAGACTCATTTGCCATCAAATAAAACAATTCTTCTAACATTCCCTTGTTTTACTGACAACGGAAATATTGCCTCTCCTGTTGATTTCTCTTTCACTTTAACCTTTCACCTGCCAGCCCAATTTTTCTATCATGCACCACACCACAGACAGTTTCCTCTTGCAAGTACAGGTTAGATAGAGTGTGTCATACTGTGTTGCAAGTAAATGATGTTAACTCTAAGGAGAGTATCCACTATTTATTTAGGGGATTTGTTTCATTTTGTCTGTTACTTACAGGAAAAAACTTTTTCTCAATAAGTGATTACATGAGATAGGTAACACCATAAAGTGCCAGAATGTGGAAGAATGATATTTTATGAAACTACTTTATCACTCTGCATGTGAATAAAACAGACTGGGGAGGCTTCCTCCAGTGCTTCATGGCCCACCTGACAATAGCGTGATGTGTTTAAAGTTATACACATTGGCTTGTGGCTGACCTGTAATTCCTCTCCTGCATGGTAACATATTGTTTGCACGGTAGCAGAGAAGTGTTTTCCTCACAGCTCTTAACCCATTTTGTCACCTCCATCATCATCATATGAGTGTGTATGTGTGTCAGTATTCATGATTTATTTTCAGCTCACAATATACAGTATGTAAACCCAGAAGACTCTCTGGGTTGCCTGCCTGATAGCCATCAGCTAAGAAGAAGAGCCAAACAAACAGCCATAAAAATGTGCTCTTATAAATATTGACCAAAACCGAGAGCAGGGTCTGACACTTGCAGGGGAGCCTTTTGGTATCATGCAGCATGTGCCATTTTTAACGGTTGAGTTCTAGTAAAATAGAAAAAGCACAGACATGCATCCATTTAACACCCTTGGCTTCATTTAACTTTCATATTCACCATGTTGCTAGAATACAGAAATCTTCTATTTTAGATTAAGATATTCTTGGATGCTAACAAGTTCTGACTGCTTTAAATATACTGAAATTTACTTTTTGTGTTATATTTGTAAATTCTGACTTTGTATCCCTTATTTTTGACTTACATTTACATATGGGGGCAAAAAAGTATTTAGTCAGCCACCGATTGTGCAAGTTCCCCCACCTAAAATGATGACAGAGGTCAGTAATTTGCACCAGAGGTACACTTCAACTGTGAGAGACAGAATGTGAAAAAAAAATCCATGAATCCACATGGTAGGATTTGTAAAGAATTTATTCGTAAATCAGGGTGGAAAATAAGTATTTGGTCAATAACAAAAATACAACTCAATACTTTGTAACATAACCTTTGTTGGCAATAACAGAGGTCAAACGTTTACTATAGGTCTTTACCAGGTTTGCACACACAGTAGCTGGTATTTTGGCCCATTCCTCCATGCAGATCTTCTCGAGAGCAGTGATGTTTTGGGGCTGTCGCCGAGCAACACGGACTTTCAACTCCCGCCACAGATTTTCTATGGGGTTGAGGTCTGGAGACTGGCTAGGCCACTCCAGGACTTTCAAATGCTTCTTACGGAGCCACTCCTTTGTTGCCCGGGCGGTGTGTTTTGGATCATTGTCATGTTGGAAGACCCAGCCTCGTTTCATCTTCAAAGTTCTCACTGATGGAAGGAGGTTTTGGCTCAAAATCTCACGATACATGGCCCCATTCATTCTGTCCTTAACACGGATCAGTCGTCCTGTCCCCTTGGCAGAAAAACAGCCCCATAGCATGATGTTTCCACCCCCATGCTTCACAGTAGGTATGGTGTTCTTGGGATGCAACTCAGTATTCTTCTTCCTCCAAACACGACGAGTTGAGTTTATACCAAAAAGTTCTACTTTGGTTTCATCTGACCACATGACATTCTCCCAATCCTCTGCTGTATCATCCATGTGCTCTCTGGCAAACTTCAGACGGGCCTGGACATGCACTGGCTTCAGCAGCGGAACACGTCTGGCACTGCGGGATTTGATTCCCTGCCGTTGTAGTGTGTTACTGATGGTGACCTTTGTTACTTTGGTCCCAGCTCTCTGCAGGTCATTCACCAGGTCCCCCCGTGTGGTTCTGGGATCTTTGCTCACCGTTCTCATGATCATTTTGACCCCACGGGATGAGATCTTGCGTGGAGCCCCAGATCGAGGGAGATTATCAGTGGTCTTGTATGTCTTCCATTTTCTGATGATTGCTCCCACAGTTGATTTTTTCACACCAAGCTGCTTGCCTATTGTAGATTCACTCTTCCCAGTCTGGTGCAGGTCTACAATACTTTTCCTGGTGTCCTTCGAAAGCTCTTTGGTCTTGGCCATGGCGGAGTTTGGAGTCTGACTGTTTGAGGCTGTGGACAGGTGTCTTTTATACAGATGATGAGTTCAAACAGGTGCCATTCATACAGGTAACAAGTGGGGGACAGAAAAGCTTCTTACAGAAGACGTTACAGGTCTGTGAGAGCCAGAGATTTTCCTTGTTTGAGGTGACCAAATACTTATTTTCCACCCTGATTTACGAATAAATTCTTTACAAATCCTACCATGTGATTCATGGATTTTTTTTCACATTCTGTCTCTCACAGTTGAAGTGTACCTCTGGTGCAAATTACTGACCTCTGTCATCATTTTAAGTGGGGGAACTTGCACAATCGGTGGCTGACTAAATACTTTTTTGCCCCACTGTATTTATCATTTAGTTCGATATACTATATCACACTTGGTTCTGTGTTGTGTTTTTTTTTTTTTTTACATTGCCTCTGTCCTTTTTTTGTTCTCAGAGCCACAAAGTGCTTAATGGCCACTGTAGTGTTGACGAGGACTGTAAAAAGGGAAAGATGGTGGAGTCTGGTCATGGTGAGAAAGAAACATCCTGATATTAAATCAGTATTGTGAAACATGTCTGAATCAGAAACTCTTTTCACATGATCATTTAGATGTTTTTAAACAGGTTTTTTTTTTTGTCTGTTGTCTAAAGGAGTCATGAGCGGCAAATGCATAAGAAACAATGAAAACTCCAATGGGACCTGTGAAATCTTTGGCTGGTGTCCAACTGAAGAAAACGTCGAATCACAGTGAGGACAAATTTGAAATGACCAATCCTCCTTTCTCTCTGCACTAACATGCACAAACATTCAGGCAAATCATGTGTAGTTGCCATTTATCGGGTCAGCACAACAGGTTTGGCACTAAATCTAAACTAAGGATGTCCTACACTGAGACACTCAGCTTCATGACCCAGTCTTATAATAGTATTGTATCAGCTCACATTAAACAGCACTGGGTCATAGATGGGTTCATTTCCCACTCAGCAATTCAATCACAATCCCTCTCTATCTGCTACAGGAAGGTTTGACTTTGATTTGTTTTTATTGTTGTCTTATACATTTATTCACAAAAATTTATATTTACTTAACATTTTGTTTTCACAGAAAGCCTTTGCTCAAAAATGCTGAAAACTTCACCATCTACATCAAGAATTTCATCCAGTTTCCTAAATTCTCATTTTCAAAGTAAGTCCTCTTTAACATTTACAACAATATCTCCTTGTACTTGCTGACTAGCTGGATATTGCTGTGTGCAATAAGCAGTTCACATCCATAAATATGTGTTTTTCTTAACTCTGAGGTCCAACATCCTCAAAACAACTGATCAATCCTACTTGAAGAAATGCAGATATGATGAGAAGCAATACCCCTACTGCCCCATCTTTCGCCTGGGAGACATTACGAGAAGAGCTGGATGCAACTTCCAAGACATGGCTACACTTGTTAGTATTACATTGTATTTTCTCAAGATTGTGTTAATGTGATATAACCTCAAATGTTACTTTCTAACACACATAGAGTTTATACCCCAAAATAATTATGATGACTGAATCCATGACTTAAAGGTTTTTTTTAGTTACTGTTATTAGTCATGACCTTTGCTCATTGTTCTTGGGAGAAATTGTGAGACAACCGAAACATGTCCCACTGAACAAAGTTTCTCATGTTTCTTACTTCATTAGGTACAACTGTTCAATTGTCCCAAATCATTCCACTTAATGATTTGGGATTTGGGATGGGCAGCACGGTGGCACGGTGGTTAGCACTGTTGCCGCACAGCAAGAAGGTCCTGAGTTCAATTCCACCATCAGGCCGGGGTCTTTCTGTGTGGAGTTTGCATGTTCTCCCCGTGTTTGCGTGGGTTCTCTCCGGGTACTCCGGCTTCCTCCCACCGTCCAAAGACATGCAGCTTGTGGGGATAGGTTAATTGATTAATCCAAATTGTCACTAGGTGTGAATGTGCGAGTGAATGTGAGTGTGAATGGTTGTCTGTCCCTGTGTGTTGCCCTGCGACAGACTGGCGACCTGTCCAGGGTGTACCCCGCCTTTCGCCCTATGACAGCTGGGATAGGCTCCAGCGCCCCCCGCGACCCTGAAAAGGATAAGCGGAAGCGAATGGATGGATGGATGGATTTGGGATCATTAAGTGGAATATCTAATCAGCCAATTACAATGCACCAAGTCAATCCATTTAGGAATTAAGACATGATCAAGATTACTTTCTGTAGTTCTATTCCTTGATAGCCACAGTGTACCCATTTTCTGACAGCTTCTTCCAGCAGGATAACGCACCATGTCACAAAACTCTGACAAAACCTGATCTCAAACTGTTTTTGAACATGGCAATGAGCTCACTTAACTATAATGGCCTCCAGTCACAAGAGCTAACAGAGAACCTGTGGAATGTGGTGAAATGGGAAATTAATTCCCTTGATGTGCAGCTGTGTGGTTCTGTCATGTCATGTGGACTGTTCTCTGTGGAATGTTCAGTGCCATGAAGAATTAGTTCTTTGTGTTCTGAAGGATTAAAGGGGTCTGATCTGGTACTAGCAGGATGTAGCTAATGTTTAACAAATGTTTTCTATACAGCTGTGAATGAACGCAGGTAAAACACCACTAATGGAATGCATACAAGTATCCAAATTTGAATACATGTATAAAAATAAAAATCTTAGAATAAGCATGTTTTGGCTGTTTTGTTAGGGTGGCGCTATTGGCATTGTGATACAGTGGGACTGTGACCTTGACAAAGGCACCTCTCACTGTAATCCAGAGTACCAGTTCACTCGCCTGGATGCCACTGTCTCCAACAAGAGCATCGCAACAGGATTTAACTTCAGGTGAGGCTCACTGCAGAGCATCTTTGTTGGCATGGTGCACAGACATGTAATCATCTTTACAACTTATGAAAGGAATACAGAACCATAACCATACCTAAAGGTTATTTATGTTTATCTTTATTTTATTTTTTATATTTTTGTTTTCTTCTCTAACAGACATGCAAGATACTTTAAAAATGCTACTGGTGAAAGCTATCGATCTCTATACAAAGTTTATGGCATACGATTTCATATCCTGATATATGGGAAGGTATGTACAATGCATCAGTGACAGAATGAATGCATAAATGTTGCCAATGCATTACAATAAGATAATTTATGTAATAAAGCCAATACATATAACACCAATGCAAAAATACCATTATTATTATTAGTAGTAGTATCCTCTCTTCTTAGGAGAGGGGTTATTAGGAATGATTTGACAATTAGACAGAATACAGTAATTAAGGGCATAAACTGCAAGAACGTGGAACATAAAATCAGACTTTATGCGGATGATGTGTTACTTTTTCTCCAAAACTCACAAACCAATATCTCTGGGGTGATTGAATTGATAAACTCTTTTGCAAGAATATCAGATTACTCAATTAACTGGTCAAAATCTACAGTCCTTCTGATTAATTGCTCCTTCCATAATTTTTCTTCTACACCACTGCAAACTGGAAATATAAAATATTTAGGTATTAATGTTTCTCCCAAGCTTGCATATCTAACCAAATTAAGCCATATCCCACTTTTAAAGACAGTAGAAGGCGACCTGGCTAGATGGAAATGTCTACCCATATCACTCATGGGAAGGGTTGCCGCTATAAAAATGATGGTCTTACCAAAAATAAATTATTCATTCTCAATGATCCCAACTAAACCACCATAAGATTGGTTCAGATCTCTAGATTCATATATGTCCAAATTCCTTTGGAAAGATAAACCCCCATGTATAGGCTTAAAAAAACAATACAAAGAACCAAGGATAAAGGAGGATTAGAACTACCTAACTTTCAGCACTACTTCTTAGCCAACAGGCTTCAATTTATCTCAGGATGGCTAAAACACACCCTCTTAGATGAACCTTGGCTAGATGTAGAACACGTACTTTGCAATAATCTAGAGATTTCAGATCTACCATTTATCAGGTCAAACATCCAACGACATGAATGCTTTAAAAGCATCAACATCAGCTCTTCTCTGACAGCATGGTGGGAGTTTCTAAAATTGACGGCGTCTTCATTAATCCCATGCAAACGCACACCTATCTGGAACAACCCTGACATGTTACAAAACAATATGATAAACTTTCCAGATTGGAGTAGTAAAGGAATCAAATATTTAGAACATATATTAGAAGGAACAGAATTTATTCCATTTGACAGACTAGTTACACAATATGGGATCAACAAGAAAAGATTTTTAGAATATAAACAAATTAAATCCATAGTAAAAAAAAGAAATTTAAACCGGGTCAAGTTGAACTACAAACACCATCGAGTGTGGTACAATTTCTTACTCGTAAAACCCCAAAATTACTCTCCAAAATATACAGAATGCTTTCTAAAACAGATGAATCAATATCACTTCCTATTGCAAAATGGGAAGCGGATTTATCAGTTAACTTAACTTTTTTCACTGCCCTATGCATTGCCAAGAAAACAGTCCTCATGAACGGGAAAAATAAAAAATAATCTTAATTCTAACCAATATAGAAATTATCTAATAGATACAGCCTCTGCCACCACATCAGATCAATTGCTCTGGGCTCCTTTGATCAGCTCCATCACCTAGTGGCGGTGGGGGGTTATAGTTTGGTCCCACCTTCGCTGTTGTGATTGGGGGTAGAGACAGGCTTGGGGCGTCGGGGGATTCCCCAGGGGCGTCTTCCTTGGAGGGCTCAACCTGGGGTTGCGGTCATGTCCTGTTAAGGGCTCTCTTGGCTCTTAGGTGATGGTTTCCTCGTGGCTGCATGCAGCGGGGCTAGGGGAGGGTCTGTGCTGATGGACGTGGGTTACTGACCTGGTAGCCTGGCTGCCCCTGGGTGGGTCCGGGTCGGGTGTGGGGTTCTGAGGGTGCTCCGTCTCCGGGCTGGGGCCCTGGCTGGGCCTTGGGTCCTGGTTGGTATGTTGCCGGGGTTGCGGGTGGGTGGGTGTATGGGGGCTCAGCCCTGGCGCAGGGTGCCGCCAGTACATCGAGCCACCTGAGGGGCTCTTCAACTGGTGGGGGAGGCTGTTATATCTTGCAGGAGGTCTCCTCTCTCCAGGAACTCACTCTGCAGATGGGGGAGATACAGGAGATACAGGAGAAAAACTCAGCCTGGGTGTCTATTGTCTTGTGTAGTCTGGAAGATGAGTGGATGACGGGGTGGGTGCAGTTTTCTCTGTGGTGGGGTCAGGTGGGCTGTCCTCTTTCTTTGCCTTTAGACAATAATTCTGATGGCAAAAGAACCAAACGGGACTGGTAAAAAAAAAAAGAAAAGAAAAAAGGAATGATTTGAAAAGAGCACTGCAGTCTTTGCTCTTTGAACAAAAATAAATTGTAATAAACTCCTATTTAAAAACATCTCTTGGGTTTCTGATCTCCTCCACAGGCTGGAAAGTTTGCCATAGTCCCCTTGGTCGTCAATATTGGTTCAGGACTGGCTGTGATGGGAGCTGTGAGTATCATTAATAATTAAATCAACATGATATTAAATGAATTGAACAGCATTTTTTTTACATACATATCACAGAATTGAATAAAATTCTTTTCAACAGGGAACCTTCTTCTGCGACATTGTCCTCCTTTATTTAACTACGGGGAAGAAGTCTTACAAAGACCAGAAGTTTGAAGTCCTAAAGTATGAAAAGCAACACACGAGTACGGATGTAGACATTTCTTAGGTTTTTTTCCATATTGAAAGGACCACAGTATGTGTGTATAGAGAATAATGAGCTAAAATAACTTCACATTAGATTTTTTAAAATACATATATTTAATGTGATATATAATTTGAATAGTTTGATTGATTTAATAATTGAGTCCAATAACATATGCTATTTAAAATCAAGACATAAGCTTGTGTTTTGGGGTTAATTAAAAGCTATTATGGTCCTCACAGGACATAAAACATGCTTAACCTTAAACATTTCCAGGAGTTATACTGAGCCCTACAACACTGATAATCACTTTATTACAAGTTCCCAATTTCATTTGTAGTGAGGTGTTTTCATTGTGGTTTATTACTTGTTATTAATAAAAAGATCCTACATCATTCATTATTATCTAACTATTGAAGTAATACAGTTTTTACAAATTTTCAGTCAGGAAAAAGTGAAGAAAGGTGAAAACGTCCAGGAAACATGCAGTAATGGGCTGTCAGAGGGGTATGTTTCTGCTCTCATTTGTCTTTAAAGACTGTATTGTTGCGTGTGCATGTGTGTTTGTGTGGATTTTGATTTCTAGTTAAGGATATATGTTCATGTATGACTAAAAAAATGCATTTCTGGTGTGATCTGTGGTTAATTTACGCTTCTTTACTATTTGTTACAACAGGTCTCTGATCTGCAGAAACTGTGCCATGAAAGATATGAAGAACAAAATGGAAAAGGACAATCAAAATAGTGTAACATATCAACTATTAAGTGTTCAAAGGTCATGTCCTAACCTCATTTCACAAGTTTAGCCATAAAATATTTTAGCATTATTATGAAGAACATAAACCAAGTTTACTGAACTTACTGAACTTTTATCTGTTTACTTTCATGACTGTGACTTTTTTTTTCTTTTAACACTATTCAGTTCAATTTAGAGTTATTTATGTAACCCCACTTCACAATAACAGTCACCTCACGGTGCTTTATGCTACGTCCACACTAGCCCGGATAAATTTAAAAATGGCATTTTCGTCTGAAAATGCTCCATGTCCACACTATCGTTTTCAGTTGTTTTCACAGAGTTGTGTGCCCTCATTGAAACGGCCAAAAATTCCAGTCCTGTGCATACATGAAACGCAGGACTCATTTCTATCTGCCATTTATTTACTTACTTTGGATTAATAGTCCAGCCTACAAAAAATGTAAGCATGAACTATATTTTCAGCATCACTCCTATATAGGAAAGTTTCCATTTAAGAGATACTGTGTAGATGAAAGAAATCAGTGCTACATTTTTATTTAAATTGACTAACGATGTATAAGCATGTATAATGTAAAAATTACTGATACAAGCACAGACCCCTGTGGAACTCCATGAATGTGTGATGAATAGTAGAATGTCCAAGCGTCATGGAGGGCTTTTGTTTTAGTAGAGTAACAAACAATTTGCAGTGAGCATGTACCACTATAACCAACCAGATCAACCTCTGTGGGAGCAAAGTTTAGGTGGCTGCTTTGTATTTTGTTCGCACATCCCACTGAAGAGCATAACAAAGGAGGAAGCACTTCTTTAAATTTGATTACATCACTTCAGAAAGACATCTAGTGTTTTCCAGTGCTGTGCTGTGTTCTTTAGAAATACTGTTAAATGTTCATTGTATGTTTTAGTTTAAGTACCCTGAAGCAGCCGTTGTTCTGTTTTGGTATTATATAGGTTAAACTGAATTTATTTCAACTGAACTGAATTGAAGTGAATTGAACAAGAGCTTCAGAGAGCACAAATCCCCACAAAAAGAAAGTGGTCATACGAAAACTTTAGTAATTTATGTCGTTTCTGTTGCGTCACGCTGGTGCTGGGCTGGTTTTATTATAAAATGCTACATCAGCCTGCTTTTATAACAACACACTGATCCCTGATCTTTGACCTTGAAACAATATATACTATAATTTTTCTGGGTCAACTATGACCTTGGGTACTAACAGTGAAGGTCAAGGTCAAATGCTTAGCCAACCTAGCTACACATGAAGTTTTAAGAAAAATTGTTTGTAATATCTGAACTGAGCAAAAAAAGAAAAAGAAAGAGAAAGTCTGCAGTCATTATTTAAAACATTGTGGATATATCTTGCTTTTTCCATATACAGCATGGTTCCAGCCCAGTTTTTCCTACGTTTGTGTACTTTCTGTCTGTGTTGGTGTTTTTAGATTGATGTCGTGCTTTGCCGTGATCGAATTGGAGAGTGAGCAGGGCTAGCGCTGCCCTTCAGTGTCTGTGTTCGCGACACATGCGTACACACACCTGTCTTTTAGACTGACTCATGTTGTCCGGAGGCCATGCATGCGAGGTAGCACATTCATCCTTCGCTGACGGGGCCGGAGAGGGAGACACAGCAAATGTAGTTCCTGACCCTGGCTTCTGCCTGCTGGTGATATGATACTCGTACCGAATAGGGCTCCCCTTCATCCAGGTGTTCCACTGCCCTCTTCTTATTTCCGTCCTGCAAGGACTGTTAAGTTTTCCTTTGCTGCCTGGTCCTCTTCCCTGGGTGGTCAATTAGCTGCGTGGTTACTCTCTCCACTCTCCACCAGTCTGGCGGTGGGCGATCGCCTGTTTTGCCCGCGTAGTCGGCTGATGGAAGGTCCTGCCTTCTCTGTCTCCTACTGGTGTTTGCTGAGTTTACGACAGTGCCGTAATCTCTCCGCAAGGTCTTCATACGTTATTGCGTTAGCTCTGCACCCACCCCTGCTTTTCTTCTTTTTGTTCCTCGGCAGCGATCTGAGCCGCGAGCCACACCAACATGCATTTTTCCCTCCCTTGCCGCTGTGCTAGAGCGAACTTCCCTGCTTTGCTCCCTGCCCTATTCCTGCAGCACTTGACGCCTGTAATCATACACGCTTAGTTATGCAAATGCTCGTCCAGCCAACCAGGCACTCGCTTCGCCCCCTTAGAACAGTTTTGCGGTGCCATTCATGCGAGGCAAACACTTGTTCGATGGTAGTTCTCTGCTACCTAAGGCTGACGTTGTGGGCAAGGTCTTTTAGGCTCAGCTTTCAGGTGATGAATGCTGATGAGCGCCTGGGTGCCTCTTCCTCTTCTCAGCATCACTCACACTTCTTAGACCCCATCTCACGGCACTTTTCAGCCTGTTCACATTGGCCGGTTTTATCGTTTCAGATGGCCCTTAACGCCCTGTGTCTTTTGGTTTTGCTACATCAAGTCTAACTATGACGTGAGCTCTGCTGCACCCCTACATTCCTACATCTTCTACCCCTTTGCCTGCCATTTATTTACCTTAATTCCGACCGCCACACACTCTGTGTCGCCACCCTACCCTCCTGAGATATGTTTGACCCTGCATCACCACGGGTTACTCAGTCCTGCGCATTTTCTAATTTGTTACCCTGCTACACCCGCTATCTCCTGTATGCCTAATCGACCACACGACCCCCATTCTCTTCAGCCACCTTTTGACCAGACCTCCCTCTCATTAAAATGCTCGGTCTCCCGCTTCCTATCCGCAGTCCGCCTCCCTGGCGCAGAACCGTCCATCCTGCACCCCACCCCATCTCACTGACTTCACTGCCAACTCTCTGGCCACCTCCCTTGACAACCCAGACCCTTGTCCTGTGCTAATGAGTTGGAAAGCTGTTTTTCAGCACGAGGATACGTGGCTGCTGTGTGTAATGAACAGACCACGCCGGAATACACTTAAGGTGATATGTGTGCTGTATCAAGTACCCATCTTATGTTACTTCATCACACGGTTATCATCTACAGATTACTCAACCGATGTCCTTGCCTTAGAAGAGGCTTGCTTACTAGCTCCGTGTTTCTTTGTTAGGTTAGTTCCGCTTCTGTCTTTTTGACCCCTGATCACTGGTCTCCACCAGCCTCCCTTTTCCCCATTGCATCCCACTACAATTTTTACTTCTTGGACCACTTTCTAGGAGGCTATATTTCTCTAGGTGGTAACAGAACACAAAAATATTCAAATTATTACGAATTTTATTACTAGCAGTGGGAAGGAGTTTTTCCTTCCCACTGTCGACAAAGTGCTTGCTCATAGGGAGTCATATGATTGTTGGGTATTTCTCTGTATGTATTACTGTAGGGTCTACCTTACAATATAAAGCGCCTTGAGCTGACTGTTGTTGTGATTTGGCGCTTTATAAATAAAACTGAATTGAATTGAATACATCTTAGTTTAATGGGAATGCCACTACCTTAGCAACAATTAAATTCTTTAACAAATTAATCTCAACTTGATACTGACTCTAGATGGAAAGCCATTCATAAATGACACTAAGATACTAAGATATAAATCTCTGTCTGAACGGTTAACCTCCATTCATTTTTAACAGAAAGTGTATTGAATATATTTACAAAAAATTTGTTACATTTTCAGTGTGCTTTTAGAGTAGTTGCTATCATTTAGTGTGTTTTTTGATAGGCAGTTTGATAAATGGTCGGTCTGCCATTTGATTTATGTCTACCCAGAAGATGTGTGACTCACTGAATGAATCCACTTAATTATGTATAGAAACAAATCTGGGGCCTTAAAACATGCTATATTGGATAATTAATATTTAGTGTTTTGTTTTTAAAATACAATTCTGAGATGCTGATAATTTATAAGTTTAATCAGTTAGGAGTAGTTTTAGTTGGGAACACTTTTTAATTACATTCATAATTTATTTGATGTGATTTGATCTTATTGTATGAAGATGCGATTTTGTGTTACGGGGCACGGCGTATTTATCCAGCATGGTAAATCATATCTTAATTGTTTGCAGTAGTGCAATGAAGTTACGTTTCCGCTGACAGCTTGAGACTGTTTAAGCTCACCTCCCTTGCTGCCTACAGCACAGAGTAGTGGTGTTTGGCTGCACTGCGTACATCTTCAGACGACGGGAGGATTTATCAGACGTATGAGTAATTTGTGTTTGGGAGACCTGCCCTTCACTGCTGGATCGTCTCTGTTTCACATCTCTTCCCAGCTATTGTCATTCTATGCGCCGACCACGTCCATCATGGACCCACCCGACACGGTGGCAGTAACCTGGCTGTTATTGGAGGTTGCCTGGGTCCCATTCGCCACCCTCCTTACCCATCTTGGCTTACCTTCACTGATCCTCTTTCCTTTCCTTAACTCCACGGCGCTTAAGTGGACGCATTTAGCACGCCTGGCGCTCCACGAACCTGTGTCTTTGGTGGCCCGTACTCTACGCACTATGCGCACGTGAGTGCCCATCGGGCTTTCTGCCAGCCTCCCCCGATATCCACACTTTGGTTCCATTTCCAGCTTATTGCTGCGTTTGTATTATTCGGCCACTGTACCACCTTTCTTCTTTTCTTCCTCTCCCACTTTACCTTCCTGCCCACTGTTCCCCCGCGGTTTTCCACACACCGACCAGTCGCCGGACTTGCCTCTCTGCGCTTGGTCCTCTGGCGTCATCCTGCATCCACTCCCCACGTCCCCTCGTCCTCGTTCTCACCCTTCTATTTTCTGGCCGTCTGTGCCTTTCCTCGGCCGCCCTCACTCTGCTCTCCTTCCCTTCCCCTGGGATCCCGGGCTACGCCTTGTGCTGCACTGCAGCACTGCCCTCAAGCTTTTCCCGAGGCCATGAGCGCTCTGGGGACGAGGTGAGGAGCAGTGGTGTTCACTCCACACCTGTACCTACTGACGTTTCTTTTACCCCCTCTTGCCCCGTCACATTAGCTATCCAGTTGTTTCCGTTGTATTTTAGCTTGGCGTCGTTTTTCTTTTTCGGTTTACACAGTATTCCCACCTCTCCACTGTTTCTGGTCCGATCTTTTTGTGTCCATCTCCCACCAGTGTTTTCGTCTCTACCTTTATGCCCCCCTTGTTCTGTGCTTCGCCCTCGTCTCCCCACTTTCTCGGCACCATCTGCCCTGGGTGGTGGCATCTCTTGTAATGTTTGTGGTGCTGTGTCCGCGCTCCCCTGTGCGCTTCCCCCCCTTCGACGGTCCCGGTTTAGCTTCGGTTTGCCCCCTCGTGGTTCCGCCGCGCTGTGTCCTCTGCTTCCATTCCATAATCACGATGCACTGGGCTCCCTCACTTTACACACACTGATTTAGGGCCTAATGATCACCTGACCACATTCTTTATGGAAGCCTACTGAGACATGTTGTCACAGACTTCCTCCACGAGCCTTCTGATTTCCTTAGTGCTCTCCGCACACCCCTGCATGCGATCATCCATAACCCGGCTGTTACGACTTATTTAGTTACTTCTGATTCATGCATTTTAACTAATCATTACATTTTGGGGGTTGTTATTTAACCTCCGAACTCTTTCATGGCAAGCATTTTTTTCTTTGCTATTTGGCTTGATTGGGACCTGATGAATATAAAAACAAAGAATTACCAGATTTTTTTTAATCGAATTTTTGTTTCTGAGACAAATGAGATCCACATATGAGGACACTGGTTTTAAATTTTGATAGAACAGTGACAGCATAATGCCCTCATAGTGGATATCAGGCCCTTGTAGAGAAAAATTAAGTATTTTGGTCTAGACATCCCAAAATGTAATGTCCACATATGTGGACGCCAGGTCCTAGAAGGTTAATATGTTTTTTGTTTTTGTTTTTTTAATGATAGGTAAATATTTTGGACCAGTGTGCTTCATGTTAATTTCTTGCTATGATAGATCATTTTAGCTTGGCAGTTCACGGCATTTTTTAAAATGTTAAACAGATGTAAATTAGTAAAAACTGAAAATTGCATACAATTAACAAGCTTTATGACAATTTCCCATTTGCTGTGCAGAATTTACTTTCGTCTTTGTGTGTGTGTGTGTATTTAAACAGATTAGCAGTAGAAGAAATAAGGTCGTAATGACCACCCATGAATTTTCAATGTATCATATTTGCCAAATTAAAAAAAAAAGGAATAAGAATTAAAGTTGTATCTAATACACAGTAATCACCTTATTAGTTTCCATGCATCAAAATTGCTAAATGTAATGTCTTGTTTGATCAGTCCCAATGCCAGAAATACAGAAGCCCTGAGGAAATGTGTGCTCACTGAGGAGATGGATTGAAAAAAAACCCTTTTAAAATGTTACAACTT